CTTTGCGAAGCCTTCTTTGGCTCTGAATACAGACATTCAATGTGGCATATTTTTCTAAATAGGTCTAAAATGACAATTAATTATATAGAGAAAGCAAAATCTAGCCATACTGGTAAAAAGTTTATTTTTCTTTGGCAGTACATATGTTTGGTGTAATTGGTTATGGATTATTTTACAAGTGAGAATGTAGTTGATTTAATTCAACGTCAACAAAAGTTCAAATGATTTCTTAACAGATTTTTGTTTTTTTTTGTTTCTTCCTCAACACAATATTACTCCTTCAATAAGAAGACAGTTATTGTTTCCTTTACAGGTATTTTTAATTAGCCTCGTGAGACCAACCTGATCTCATAAGCTTTCAAGGTTTCACTCGCAGATCAGTCTGGAGACTCTCCGTTAAAGAAAATTTGGAGCAGTTCACCAAACGAACATCCAATCAGCGTTGGCTTTGAGGCGGGTTGAGGTGTGACGCAACGAGAAGCGCGACAGTTCAGTCTAAAGAACATGGCGGCTTCAGCCGATGAAACTAGCGTTAGCGTGGCTATCGAGCAAGTTTTATCGGAATTACAGAGTATTTCTTCACTGAAAGAAGAGCAAAACACTGCTCTGGAGGCTTTTCTCAGAGGAAAAGATGTTTTTGCTCTTCTCCCGACTGGTTTCGGCAAGAGTTTGATCTATCAATTGGCTCCTCTTGTTGCTCTGTTAGTACGTCATATGCTTCGTTGAACTGATTAGTTTATTTGGCCCGTCTATCACCAACATAGGCCAATCAGCTAACCAGTATTTTCGCCCCTTCCCAAAATTACTTCAACGGAAGGTTTCCAGATGGATATGCGGAGCAAATCCATCTGGCGGAGTCAGGTTAATTTTTGATACCATGAGCTGCTTTTAACCCAAATTACTCTATTTTCTGCCATCAGTTGAGTAGTTTCTTTTGCTTACATTTTTTGAGACAAAGTAGCATCTTTTCTACTTTATCAAGATCTAGAGGAGAAAAATTGGATATCATTGAAATCATTGGAAACCTAATCAGAGCTGTCCCCAAATTAAAATGATACAGCGTTATTTTCATCTTGTCTATGCAAGTTGCCAGAGTGTTTGGCTAGAATTAGTGGGCTGGACCAGTTCCTGAGCTGGTCTTGCTCCCTTGCACAAATAAATTGTGAGAACCTGCTGCTGTTTGGATGGTAAAATACAGGGTTTAAAATGTTTTATTTATCTAGGCATATTTTAAAAATACCTGTTGAAATACTGCAGCTAAATGCTTGAAGATGACCATACCAACAGAAAATGTATAATAGATAACTATTGATGATATTTTGCTGCTTGGATTAATTTTGCTTGTTGTTTTGGAATGATGGCAGCCTGGAAATGTACACTCTATTATTTTACTTCTATCTATTCTAGTCTGAACAGAAGGGTCTTTAAGGCTTTAAAAAATGTGTTAAAATTTATAAAATGTGATTTTTCTGCATTTTTTTTATCCCACCAAAACTAGCCACGCTGCTTGCCCCACATTTTCAGGGAGTATTAGCTGCGGGAACATGGTGAGGTTTAACATACCGTACAAACACAAGACCCAGCTCTACAGTTGGCAGGTGGCAGATCTGTGATCTGCATATTCAAACTCACGCAGCTACCTATTGTGGTCCCTTGATCCTGGATTAACTATAAAACAAGCCCTTAATGCAGGTTATCAGGGTTTGGGAACAATTCACTAAACAATCAGTTGATTACTTTCCAACGATTTTCCTCTTCTGCCAAGCAAATAATAATACTTTTTGTTTTAACTCTTAAGCCCACCTCCCTCCTCCCTCTTTTAATCAACAAATTAAGCATAAATCATGTTTGATCTTTATTTACTGGTTGCTCAGCAGTTGGTAGAGGTCAAGAGAGATTACTGGATGCTTTAATAGCCCGAAAACAAGCCCAACATTCCTCTGTTCCCCTCATGAACACGTACAACCTTAAAGTCGCTTTGTTTCATGTCGGAGGCTTTGGGGAAAAGGACAGACTTATAAAAGGCTTCATTAAATATTTTATCTTCCCTGTCTCCTTTCTTTATTTCTTCCTCATTTCATCTTTAAGTAGAAGATGCTCAAGCATTTTCTAACGAGAAGTGCATTGTCCAGTGAGCTTTACATACTGAGATTATAATCCTGAGAGAATGGCACGGTTACAGTCACTGTATTTTTCTCTCCGCCCCCTTATAAATCTGCTTCAAGTAACTCCAGTGGGAATGCCCAGTAACTTTCAGCCTGTCAGAGTCTCATACAGCTGAGAGAGCAGTGGGTGAAAAGCTCCATCTAGTCTGCCTAACCCTAACTCTGTGCTTTGATCGGCTACAAATCACACCTCCTTTATACAATTCCGAGGTTTTTCACAAATAAACAGTAAAAGAAAAAAAATATATTCTAATTAACAATAGCTGTAGGAGCCAATTATTTTTTGTTAATAATTAAAATGTTTTTTTTTGTGTGCATAATCTAGCGAAGTTTATTTTACTTTATTGTTATAAATATTATAACAATATATTGTTATAAATATTGATATCTGTTATGAGATTATGTTTTTTGGTTATTTAGTCATGTTCCTTTATTTTTGGTTACTTATGATTAATTTAGGTTTTTTTTTTTTTTTTATAAATAGGCAGTCAATGGTAGGACCAGCATGCATCTGGGTGGGCGTATGGTTTTTTACCAGCACAAGAGAAACATGGAGGAAATGTTTGTCTTTTTTTTTTGTTTGCTTGCCTGAGGAAAAAAATTAACTGAGAAAACTAAAGGAGTTTACCTGGAACATTTTTTATTTTGCCTGCGTGAAATAAGTCCATGGTGCATCTGTGGCCTTTGTGGATTTCCACTTTTTTGTGTCATCAAAGCTGGGCCACAACAATAGCAAATAGCTTCAATAAAAATAACTAACATTCACATGCTGATAACAGGTGGGTTTAAGAAAGTTCTCAAACTTGTGCTTCTAAAATTACAACGAAAGTGAGATTATTGTTACTAGCTTCAAAGCTTAATTATTTAGTCATAGCCTGGCTACTGGTTTTAAGGTATACCATTTCCTGTCACAGTCATGGTTTAATAAACCCTCAAAAAAAAAAAAAAATTCTGTAATGCCTTTTCTGTACAATTGAATGTGCTTTCAATGAGGGGTGAGAAAAGGTGCAGGTTTTTTCTGACTACATGGAATATAGTACATCACTGTCCCCTCTACACCTGTTGCTGTGCACTGCTGGTCAGCAGACTCAAATAAAAGCCTTCATACATTTCCTTCACTCACAAGACTGAGAAGTCTGACTGTTATTAGACATTTGCAACCCTCATTCTTGACATTTTAAAACTATATTGGGTAACCTGTGTTATTGTGGAACTATTGGTGACTATTTTGATTATCAACCAACCTTAACTCACTTCTTTTTCATCACAATACCCTCTTTGTGAAAATTAGCATCTCATCCACCATACAGTATACATAGAAGATGTCAGTTAAGGAAACTGGAGGTCTATTAAGCAGGCCAAACATATTATTAGCAAAGAGAATTTGTATGAAAGGAGGATACAATACATTATATATGTAATTCAACCAGTATTGGAAACAATCATACCTCTATTTTGATAGCAAACTATTAGATCATTAAGCAGTTTAGTGCTAAAACCCTGACTAATTAAACCACTACCACCGATGGTCATATTAAGGACAGCACGAGTGGTGTCAAATGACCATCAGAAAATGTGCCGCTATTGTTTCCTTTTAAAGAAACCACACTGACTGAGGCTGAGTCCAAAGTGAAACCCTTGGTAAAGCATTTCAAATGTATCCTATTTAGAACCACTGATGCTTTCATAAAACTATCCAAGTCTAGTAAATCTGTCCTGATTAGACAAACTTTAGGACAATGAACCTGCAGTATATTTAAAATGTAACCTGTGTAGCACTGATTATTATAAAACATCACATATTCCCAGTTGCCCATATTCCATTATTGTGTTACTCTATAATATTCACAATGACAAGAACTTGAAAATTACAAGTCAATCTAGTGGAAGTTTATTCAATTAAAAAAAAACAGAGAATATTAGCAGTGATAAAAATGAAAATTTCTTTTCTGTTTTGAATAGAAGCTATTATGAAATGATAAGTTTTTTTATGATAATAAGTTGGTTTTTTTCTACACATTTATTTTCTTTATACAACGTGAGATTCTCATAGCTGCCATTGCTCAATTAATTAGAAATAAATGACTACGAATGTGACACATCTTGAAAAGAAGGTCCAACTGTGCTGGAATTGTTTCGGCGCGGCTGTAAATCATCAGTGAATTGTTTTCTACTTATTCCACTGTTAAATCCACCCCCCTCTCAGAGCATTCACAAACAAAAGGGGCCACACATGACCACAAAAGAGAAAGTCATTTGTGAAATGTCCTGATTATGTGGGTTGTGCAACGTAAAAACAATTTGCCTGATTACTTCCAATTGATTTGTCCTCGCAGTTAAAACCTCGGCGAGCAGCCCGGTGAGCCACGCCGTGCCATGCCGGTGGGCAGGGGGAAGAGGAGTAATTTCTCGGATGTGCAGCTGAGCCAGCTTACGCCTAAGCTAAAGCCCTCTGGATGCTGCTAAACCTCTGAGAGTCTAAACACCAGGCTAGCTACCAGCTAACAGTGTCTGCTAAAGCCCTGAGGGATTTATGTGTGGCACAAAGTGAATTAAAGGTGACCTTCTAAAATGGATGGAGAGACAAAAGAGAAGGGTGATGGGGAGGAATGGGATTTCACAGGTAGCTCACGCTTTACCTGAACAGATGGAAAAAACAAAAAACACTGCACCACTTATAAAAATATCTAGCAGATATGCAACAGATTCACCTCAGATAGCTTTGCCTTATTAAAATATATTAAATAGTTGGGTGGGGGGAATTATCTGCTTTAATGAGATTTGTGCTTAACAAGAAATCCTTCCTAAAAGAACAGAGACAGGATTTCTGCTCACCTGACTGTTGATGTCTGCTTTGTGCTGCAGTAACACAGATACCAGCTCCTTGTGTCCTCTGTCACAGGCCCAGTGCAGGAGGGCGCGACCCTGCCAACAAAAGCACACAAATCACTGAACTGAACACACATATACAAACCACAAAAATGTAAGGAACAAGACAATAAACACACTGAAAAAACTCAAGACCTCTAGCTTATTATTATTTTATATTTAATCATTGTTTGTATTGTAATAACTGCAGTAAATAGATATCAATTTGTTCTTTTCACTATCTTCAGCACAGAGGAATGAGACATTCAGTTCTTTAGAAAAGTATTCTGATCCCTTAAACTTCTTCAAATTCTGTCAAAACTAACCTAAAAACATTATGAGGTGATGGTGATAATATATACAAACAGGTGTATAACTGAAGCGGAATAATAAAGACTCACTTTTAGGGCTAGGTAAAAAAATCGATTTAATCGATTTTGGATCGATTCCTTTACATTTATGCAAAATCGAGGTGTAGGGAATGAGATCGATTAGTTTTATAGTGACGCTCACATTCAAATGAGCAGGCGTATGCAAAAAGGCCGACTCAGGTAACACACCGCTCAGCAAGCTGTCCCAACTGAAGTCTGATGTCTGAAACCATTTTGGATTTAAAACAACTAAAGACAATGTGCTGGATATGTGACATTAAGGTGACTTTCCTCTACATTGAAAATGAGTGGCGCTGCAAATATGGTTTGTGCATTGAAGATAATGCAGCTTAGGCATGTCTACTGTGTCACGTCTGCTTGCTCGTGTGAGGCTTCACTTTTTCCCTTTTATAAACAAGTTTGCACTTTTGAGACAGTTTTATTCACATCTCAAGTTTAAACTGTCTGATTTACAAGTTTGCGCTTTGTGTTTAATATGACAGGAAAAAATAAAATGCATGAGTATTTTGAAACACAGTCGAACCACTTTCATTATTGTAAAAACAGATCGAATCGAAATTAATCGATTTAGAACTGTATTAATCAAAATCAAATCGATTCAGGACTTTGGCCAAAATACTTAGCCCTACTCACTTTTTTTTTACACATTATTACAAACAATCATTTTGAACATAAACCCTGCACTTATTATATATTTAGGGTGGTTGAGGCAATACTCTTAATCTGGGCAAACCTATACCAGCTTTGCACATCTAAAGATTGTTTTAGGGCTGGACTTTGATCAGCCTAATTCTTACATATCAGAATGCTTTAATCTAAAGTCTTTCTTTAGCTCTGGCTGGACACTCTGGATTGGAAGGTGGCAGATCTGCCCCAGTCTGGTCTTCTCCATCCTCTTGCATGTTTTCTTCCACCTTTGTCCTGTATTTAGCTCCATCCATCTTCCTATAGACTCTACCTAGCTTCTTTTTCCTTGCTTAATGAAGTATAACCCCAGCATGATGCTGCCACCACTGTGTTTCACCAGTGGGAGATTGTATGTTCAAATTGTTCATTTTCTGAAAAAATTGTACATGTGTAAGACAACCTCTTAAAAGCTGAATGGGAGCCATACAGTTTGGGGTTATCCGGCAAATAAGTGGGTTTCCTATTGCCTTATTATGGATTTCTTATTTCAAAGTTGAATTTTTTCTTGCCACATTTTCATGAAGGGGAGATTTTTGGAGAGCACAATTATTAGTTGCTCTATTATCATATCGTCCCTCGCAAGAAGTGGATTTCTGTAAGCCTTTTTCATTGCATCTATGTTGTGTTTCATTTTTCCGAGGGGCAAGGTGCACCAATGACTTCAAAGGGAGGCCTTGATCCTCATGATGCTGTTTGTTATCAAATGTCCTATAACAACCCTATTAGCCCTTCACAGAACATTTTTAAATGGTTCTGAGGCTCATGTATCCACACTATGTTACCTTCTACTTTGAAGTTATGCACTAATTTGTGTGCATCTGTCATAAAAACCTAAATAACACACAAAAGTTTGTCTTTTGATGGTTGTATAATCTGAAAAGGTTTAAGGGCTATGTGCACTTGTTTAAGAAGAAGTACTTTAATTTAAATTTTTATGGAGAAATATAGGTTAAAGCCTACAAGACAAGTACTTGCCCATGCACATACACCATCTCACAGGCATTTCCTTGGGTCTAAGATCCTTGGTCCAATAAAACCTCCAGAGCTCATTTTTCAGTGAGGGCAATTAGGTAAAGCAAACTCTCCAAGTCTAACTCTGTTGCTTAAATCATATTGATCACCCAGGCTGTATGTTAATATGGCTACTTATGAGTCAGGTCAGAATACCAATGTTGCCTTCCCTCATTCTTTCTGTTTAAGGTCCTGTGCTGCAGACTGCTGCATGCATTTTTACTGCACATCAGAAGTTTTGTGGTTAAAACAAGAAAATACCAAAGCAGTAATAAGTTAGCTTTGAGGTCCAGCGGTGATAAAACCCTAATTATGTCACGTAGAAAAATGAACTGGTACGATAGATTGCACTAAATCACGGTTGAATAAGTGCTCTTCAGACCACAGGGAAGGTGCTTTTTTTAGCACTGTCTGATTAAGAAACACTCTTTTCTTTTCTGGGAGCAAAGAGTTGGAAAAGTTCCAGGAAAGAAACCCAAAAGGATTAGCAGATAATACAACTGGCAAAGGGTAAAGACAAACAAAGAAGAAGCTAACCCCTCCCTGTTATTGGATACAGGAAGCGTGCAAAGGTTAAACAAAAGGCTTGACAAAACAGAGTAAATATCTTATCGCAATTATTTGCTCTGTTTGCAACAATAACCATAAGTAATAAATATATGAAAATAAACCAAACATGGTAATTCTGGAAATTAATCAGTCAGTGAACAGAGTGATGAGCTTCACAAACCAAATATTGTTGTAGAAATATATATATAATTTTTTTTAAAATGCTAAATAATATATTTTGGACACAACTCAGACACAGGATGTTCCAAAGCAACACTGAAATGGCACAAAGCGCAAAAGTAACAATCCTGACCTTACATTTCATTGAATCATTTAAGCTTTTTAGTTTGAGTGGATGTCATACGATAACTTATTGACATCACAGACTTCCTTTTTGTTCTCAACATACAGTAAAGGGATTACCTTCGAGTTAATGAGTCGATGCAATTAACTGGTTTTCCTTAGATAGAAAACTTTTAATCAGTTTGATCTGGTTTAATTGTCTCTGTAAAGTGCCTTGGGATTACATGATTTGTGAATTAGCACTATATAAATAAAGTGAATTGAATTGAATTAAATTTAATTAAATTAAAGAAACCAATATTTCATATCTATCTGGTAGCTTTATTATGCCCTTTTAATTAATTTCTTAAACCCTATTTAACCTAATTTTTTCATAATTTGTATATAATTGAAATGAATAATAATAATTATTATTATTATTGATACTATTGCTTATAGTTATTTCAATTTTGTCATAAATAATAAACAGGTTATATAGTAAAGGTAAAATGAAAATATAATTCCCCCCAAAGGATCTTCTGTTAGACTGATAAAAACTCTTCAAGAATTTTAAATGGAAAAACTTAATGAGCTAAACATGGGTGTGAAGGTTTTTGGATTTAAACTGCCTGTAAACGAATAAAAGACAGACAAAATAAGATACTAAAAAAGAAAAATAAATTATGATATGAGAAAAAATGATTACAAATACCCATAAATAATTACATAATGTTGTCCTACATGTGTGAAAATTATTATCTTCTTCTATCACTGAACTATCAAATCAAATAATATCAAAATTTTATATATCACAACCTTTCTTTGACACCACTCACAAATTATTTATCTGATTTAGGCAAGGGGTTGACCAAGATTGCCATTCACCATTGACCCTAATGAAAAAAAATATCACAATCCCATGTTAATAATAAATAATAAAAAAAATGAGTTAAAAAAATGGGATACAGTCTTATTGCTTTTATTTATAACAGTTAAAGCTTAAAGCAACACTGTAGCCTTTGACCAAGTATCAGCTATATTTGAGATATATTGAATATTTGTTTAGGTCAATATAAATCACTTCGCACTGACCAGTGCTCTGTAGGGGCTTCTCAAAGATCCGCCAACGTGAGACGGTTAGATTAATCTCTGAATGAGTTATGTGACAAAAAGCCCCGCTTAATGGCAGTGAAGCTCCCCTTAAAAACAAGAGCTACTGTCACTACCCAAAAAGTTGCTACTAGGCAACAAACTAGATGTGACACTTACCTGATCAGACATATTTTTGGCTCTCTAATTAGGATTTCATCTAAAGAAGCTACTCTGTCTTTACCAGTAACCCTATTACTTTTGGTCCAAAGTTGTTTGCTATTAGATTCCAAAACATGAAGGGAAACTGTTTGATTTTGCAAGAATGCAACGTTGTCAGACGCCTTCAGGATCACTAAACTGGGAAGTAACAGGTCAGGCGGCACCTGCTTTCTCTCTGTGGCAAAAAGTTACAGACTTGCTTTAAACTGGTGAATTAATCTTTGTATGAGGAACATGTAGTGGCCCTTTTGTAAACTAAATGAGCAACATTGCACAGCAACATGTTGGGGAGGGGTAGCTGTGTTACTTTTTCATCTATGAAGCCACAGAAAGTTAAAAGTTGCTCCAATACTTTCTTTAGAAATTAACTAAATAGACATTATAGTGCAGGGCAGTACGACAGAAAGTATTTTTGTTTTGAAGCAAAGCTTAACTTCATTTTGCCCTTTTACAGCTAACTGACCTATGCTTCTTTTAACCAGACATTTAATAAACTAAAATTATCCAGTAAGTTTATCCTTTGCAATTATAAATATATAAACTTTAAAAAGGAATGTCTTTTTATGGTTTTGTTACGCGTTTTGCTGTTTTCATGTCTTAACTACAACTCATTAGCCGTCACTGTCGTCCAGAGTTATTTTAACTAAGGTGATGTTGTGGTTCCACACTCACAGGGCAAGAGATGAGGCACAGCCTCTTTTTGCCCCATTCTTAACCTGCAGACACTTAACACTATGTCAGCTGGTGCGAAACGTCGCCACTGCCCTCTGCTGTTTAAAGAGCAGAACAATGAGGCACTAGAAGAGCACAATAGTTGATGGCAGACAAAGCCTTTTCAGCAGAGATGGCTCAACCATCTGGCCTTTGACTGTGAACCCAGCGGCTGAATGCCTGTTTATTGTGAAGAGTGACCGTAATTGAAAAAAGGGGCAGCGGGCCAGTTGGCTTTACCGATAATGAATCAAAGGCAGATGGATAAATTTCAGGGTCTATCTATCCGGGAAACGCTCAACCATAGTGGGAGCAGTCTCTGCATTTTATGCCAAACTACTGCTCCTTGTGTAGTGTTGCAGTCATGCTCTTTGCTTGGATATGTTTGTAAGATATATCCAGAGTGCAAGATAAAACTTATAAACAGTTGCATACATAGAACATACTGGTAAAAGAGACTTCAGCAGCACAAATGAATATCAATAGATAAGTGTGGCAGTTATCTATTAGGGTAGGCCTATTCAAATGAACTCTCCCGTTCGCCATCTAAGCCTCCAGATATCTTTTGGCACTGTACCTCTTCGTCTTTGGTATTGACATCCACTTTCTGAGAGCTGATGGCGTTCCTTATGTGCTCAATGTTGTTTTCTCTGCAGTAGTCAAAGATGTTCTTATCTTCTTCCCTGAGAGCAAGAAATGAGTGAAACACGGAGTAATGATCAAAGCCATTTGTCTTACAATGAAACAGCAAAAATAATAATAATAAAATATTATAAAGTGCATCAGTTTATGTTACTTGGTACATTATTTAATTTTGCTAGTTGATTAACCTAAATTTGATAGTTTGTAAGCTATCTAAGTTGCAATGACACTAGTCATGAATCATCATACATTTAACACAATGAGCATACCGTATGCTACACAAACGGTGTGATATCAGAGCAGCAGCTACATGTGCCATATCCCTAAGGGACAGAGGCATGCACAGCAGCACCATCCCACCTCTAATCATATCTCCCTGCCTCTAATCACCTTCTTGCATTGAGGGACAGGAGGAGGGCTGCGGGGGGTGTGGTGATGGTGGGAGAGATGCTGGGTCAAAATGGGGGGGAGCAAAATCTCATTTAGAGCTTTATGCTTTCCCCTCCCTCTTAGCCATCCAAGCCATTCAGATTAATTGAATTTAGTGCTCTGCTGTTTGTAAGAAAACTTGCATATATGACACTTTGGTGCTTCGTCAGTCAGTAAGACCCATATCCAAACCCCCCCTTTCCTGTTGCTGGCAGCATGAAGTCTAAAGTTGTTCTTCCTCCTGTGTCACTTTGGACCTGTAAAGTTCCTGTGGTCCCATCTGGCTCAGGCTGCAGGTGAACCACTTGACTGAACGTGAAGTTCAGCTAAACCTTCTCGGGGAGATTTTGTTACGTTGAACATTATTCATAATCCAGATTTGGATATTTGTTTTCTGTTATTTATTGATTCCGATTATAAGTGCAATGAGTATTTATCAAAAACTGATAAAAAAATAGCAAAGTAGTATCACAAATAAATAAAAAAAACACAACAGTGTGCACACATCCTAAACCAACACTAAGTGAACCAGTGGCACTATCCCATAGTAAGATAGATCGATAGATAGATCCTTAGTCTTTTTCCACCCTCATGCAGAGTCAAAATGTCGAGTCACTTTAAAGATTTCTACATCAGGCAAGCCCTTCTGTACAGATATTGAAGACTGCAGCTTCATATGTACTATATATTTAGGATATAAATAAGTTATAGATTAATTCATGTTGTCTGAACTTTGGTCAAGCTATGTTGCAGCTTTTTAAGCATCAAGCTGAAGCATTCTTGTATTAACGCTTGTGTGGAAAAAGAAAAATGGGAAATTCCCAGTCCATAGGGTAGTTTGGTTAGAGAGTTAAGGAAACAATCCCAATACTAATGTAATGTGTCATATCAATTTACAATTACAGAATTTTGATTTTTATAAATTTTTAAAAAAGCATCAGATTGGGATCCAGTTTCACCAACTTACAGTAGACTTACAGTATTCTCTAATTTTCAAATAAGAATTTTGCAAAAAACTTTAACTTTTCTTCTTCTCCTGCTAAATGGAATGGCAAAAAAAAAACTGAATAAAAATTGTCCAACAAAAATTTCCTTTCAAGTTCTAAACTGGAAATGTAATTGTGAGGTCAACGTTTGCAGTAGAATAATCAGAGAGAAATTCTTAGTTGAATTGTTTGGTGTGTTTTTTTTAATAATTCATGGTTCATGCATTTAAATTCTGCTTAACAATATATTTTAATGGGTTAACTGAACTTTTATTGCCCTATATGCACATATCCTATTTACATCTTAGTGATAGAGACGCTAAAGCTTAGAAAGGTAAGTGGGGATATTATAACATGGAAAAAGAAAGTGCTTAAAAAATGAAGGTTAATCATGTTTTCTTAATGCTATACTAAAGAATAATAATAAAGTTTTTTTTTTAAATGCTGTGTATCCCTGATCAGCTCCACACCACAATGAATGAAGGTTAAAGTTAGGCTACATATATTACATGTGATACAATGATTGTTATGTAGGAAGCTCTCTTTTTTGCTTTTCCCTCAGTTTTTTTTTCATTCAGCTTCTCAGCTGCAGCTTCTCATTTTTTTCCCTTTGCGACCTCTCCTTCATCTGCTCATGGTTAGAGATGAATAACTCATCGCGTTTTTTACTAGAGCAAGGTTATGAATCTGTACCTTCATTTACATACTCCTGATTACTGCAGCTATGTTTATTCATGCACGACCACGCCTACTTCTTTTTCTGATGGCTATCATGACCCCAAAGCCCGCCTGATGCGTCGCCACCATCCGTCTCCCCCGGCAACTAATCAATAGGCCGAGTCATCAGTCTTTAGTTGATGGCTGGACAGGGCTGGCATGACACATATATATGAATGATGAGCAAGAACACACATGCACCCCCCCCCACACACACACACACACCTGGTAGCTTTAGGATTATTTAATAAACAAACACAAAAATTATCTCACAAATGAAGACATAAACAAAAACAATTGTTTAGATAAATCCCTTTTAGCACAACAGGACAAAGGAGTTTAGATACACAAACCAACATGCCAGATGCAAACAAATGATAAATGTGGGCCTTATAAACAAAATGACATCCACAGCAGTGCAAAGCATGCTGGGAAGGTCACAGGCTATTCTGTCATCAAGGCAGCACCAAGGTTTTTAGTGTTTGTGTATCTAGTATGTGCGTGTGTGGGTACGTCATGTGCCCACACCTGTGTGTGTGTCCAGTGTGGTGTACTTGCAGATATATCCTTCATCCATCAGACCAAACTGGTCACACTGGTAGAAAACACTCATCTACCTGGTCTGAGTTTTGGTGATCAGCAACACAGCCACACAATCCATCAAAGGCGCGCTTACACACTCACACCATCTCTCATCTCGCTCTCATGTAAGACCCTGACTGAGCCGGAGTGCCAATGGAAGCGAAACGCGAAGAAGCCTGAAAAGATGAGAACTGAAACAACAAGCTTTTTTAGCCAAGAGCCCCACAAAATCTTTGTTTTTATTGGAATTCATCTGGCAGGTGTTTGGCGAATTGCAAATGCCGCATTCTGGCCCTGTGATTAGCTCAGCAGGCGAGGGATATTTCTAATCAATCAATCCTGTTTTCATCTATAAGTGATTCACATACACATGAGTAGAGGTTGAGTGAGCAGTGCAATTAAACCCGGCTGGTTAACAGGTGTTCAGCTGTTTAATATGGAGGGTGTTTATGTGTGAGAAAGAGGAAATTGAAGAGCAGCAGAGCAGCGAGTTTATCATGTCTGGGAGGTTATGCATGACTTGGGATGATAATTACACGGACGTACAGTGTGAAGTGTATGATTCTGCCTGCTCAGCTGTGTTTGTCTCATGTTAATGTTATCCTTGCGATGGGTTCCCAGTGAGTTTTTTGGTGAGACTGGATATCGCCATGGGAATATTGCTCTGGGAGGTCTTCTGCAGCAACCTCAGTCTGCTGTACTCAGTGCATTCCCATTACCTTGCCTGTTTAATTGTGTCATTAAAAAAGGGAAGACTCTGGATGCTTCTTACAGATAATATGCATACTAATCATGTACAGCCATTTAGGAGGAAACCTGCAGAATTCACACATCTCATTTTCATCTCTGAAAAGCTCTTTTTGCATTGAAATGAAAATGGGGGGGCTCCGAGCTTCAGTGAGTCTGCCAGGAAGAAGTAAATGGAGAATGGATTTCATTAACATAAATCGGAACTGCTTGACATTCCCAGACCTGCAAATGCAGTTACCGTCTGTTGAATACAATCAAATACAGCGTCAAGTTTAGTGGTTAACAATGCCAAGTTGAGCTGAGAATTAAAAAAAAAAAAACGGATAAAGCCCCAAAAAGATCTACTAAATACTTTCACGGAATAAAGAAAAATGTGTTTGAATGTCACGTAAAACTAGCAAGTTCTGGTTTGTCTTTGCTTAAGTTATGAAGTGATCAGAGGTCTGATTTTGGCTGGTTTGATTCTAGTGTTCCAATTTTCTCTTTAAGAAACGTTAGATATGAGACTAATGATCCACCTTCATTTGGGTCAGAAATTATACATAGCTGTGATATTATTCACTGTAAAAAAATAAATAAATAAATAAAAACTTTAACAAGCTTTAAACAACTAGTTTTGCAATAAATAAAAGCAACAGTCTTCTCCACTTAAAATCAGCTTCCTCAATCAGAAAATAGGGCCACAACATTCTAGTGCAGGGGTCTTCGACGTTTTCAAAGCCAAGGACCCCCAAACTGATTGCGAGATGGAGCGGGGACCCCCTAATTATATAAACTGTATGAAATTGTGTTCTATCAAACTGGTCCTATAGTCACTCTATTACATATGGAGTCATGTAACGAAAGTAATTTCTCCCTGGGATTATTAAAGTATTTCTGAATTTGATTCCTGGTTAATGGGACAGGTGTTGTGAATGAAACGGTGCCCAGGTTTGAAAGAGCTCTTGTGTGTCGCTGAATGTGTGCATTGATGACTGAAAGACATCTTCTGCTTTCATTTATCTGTTTAATACAGTGTGTTGAATTCATGTTATTGTGTATTTAAAGACATTTTAATTAGTGCAAAAAATTGCAGGAGGGAATATAAAAAAAGTAATCAACCAAGACTTTCGCGACCCCCATGCAGTAGACCTGTTGAAGACCTCTGTTCAAGTGTTCAATCAAGTTGCATTAATTAATTAATTAACAGAAAGTAGGAAGAAAAGGTGGAGAGAAAAAAAAGGATATTGATATTGATCCTGTTAAAATCATACTATCCTGGTCACCTTCTGACTTATCAATGCATCTCTGATTGTTTGTGTTACTTTTCATTTAAATACCTTATCATCTCCTCCTGGTACAGAGAGCTGACTGCTGCTCCTCCAAAACCGGTTCGTCTTTCTGCTCCCCGTCGTTGCTGTAAGATCAATGGACAGAAATCAGCTTAGACTAAACTTTAAGTCAAATGAAGTATTTAATACACAGCTTTAAGAGCTAATCATAAATATTGGTTCAGTGTTGAGCACAGGGCCACCCTCTTTTAACAATGCTGTGGTTTTACTTCTCTATAGTGACTAAATACAATGAGTCAGACATGTCCATTCATGGGTACCTCTAAACATAGCCTCTCACTAACGGTTAGAAAATTCTGCACTCTGTGAATAAACAACTCCATGGATTTGAGTCTGACCTCATTCCTGATAAATGTGCCCCAAAATAAAGGTGAACATGATAACATGCATTAGCTCCCGGTTTTTGACCTTTGTTAATCATCTGTATTTTCATAGAATTCCATTGTACACTCAGTTCAGCAAAGAATTTATTACCTAGCCTATTCTTCACTAACCATCCTTGACTCACAAAAGAAGCTGCACAAATCTGATTTCAAAGCAGAGGGAGAGATGGAGCAGAGCAACTATCCATGCACTTTTGGGACAAACTAATTCACTTCAGAAACTATGAATATTCGCTGAGCACCGGCCCTGCTCTTCTACCTTATAATGTAATATAAAGCCAGTGTCTGCTCAACAATTGAGAGGGGAACGGAGGTCAAATTGTGGCTATTATTCTCTCCCTTGCTCCTCTATCTATGCACTCCTACTTACACTATTTAACCGTGCCTCAAAAAGAATAGCTCCTGCCATGCTATTACGCTTTGTTAACACTAATGCAATCAGGTTCTTTTTCGTTTTTGGAGGCGTGGGTGGTATATGCTTTTGCTAGGCTGTCATCCGTTAGGCCGAGTCAGCAACTATTTTATTCCGCATAGAATGGCTGAAGAGAAATTCAGTTCAATTGTGGTGGACAGTGACACTCTTACAAAAAGGGACATCAAAAAATTAAGAATTGAGGGACGAGGAGGAAAAGGAAGATGGGGATTAAAAATAAAAAGATGATTTGAGGGCACAGACAGAGTGCTATTGGACAATGACAGCAAAAAGGTCAACTCAGACACACCAGGTTAAGAACATTTGAAAATAACTCAGGATTACTTTCATTACAAAGAGAGTGTATCTATCTGGTGTTTGCTTGTAACCTTTGTCATTTTAGATCTGCTCCCACTGTTTGCAACCACAACTATACAAAAGTAACCTGAAACCATTGTATAACCTGCACTGTTCTCAATTTTGACAAACAGATAAAGTTTTTGGTCTTTTGAAAACATATAGTGGTTGCTTTTTTTCCCCACCAGTCCATCTTCTCTACATACACACAGTGTCTGTTTTATGATCCACCCAAAATTACCTTCCACTGCGGTAGGATTACATCTGCTCCAGTGATTCTTTTCTTAAAATCATTTGCTGCAATTTTGTAGCTTTCAAAGTGTATAGGACATAGCTTAGGAAAAAAATGCTTGCGTGTTTTTAAATTTGGCATGAATGAATGAATCTGCTGTGGGTTCTTGTATTAATGTAGCTGTTCCATTATGCATCTCAATTTCTGCATCAATGTACAAGTCCTTCTCCTTTTCAGATTACAATTTAAATAGAAGTTCGAAGAACATGCTGTTTAATCATGTGATTATAGACCAACATTTTTATTTTTTCCCCACATATTTCATGAATAAAAATCTGTTATCCATCTCACAGCCACTTTCTTGACTTTACTTTACCTGGATGAGAGTAGTTTGAAATGAAAATGTACAATATTTAAGTTCTTAAAGCTTTATTTGAGAGAAAGAAAAGGGTAATGACTGCTAGGGTTGAAATTTGCGTTTTTTGTAAAATATACAGCAGGGCCAAAAACTATTTAGCCAGCCACTGCTTGTGGAAATTTTCCTACTTATGATAATTAGAGAGGTCTGTAATTTTTATCATAGGTACACTTCAACTATGAGAGACGAAATGAGGAAAAAAAAATCCAGAAAATCACACTGTAGGATTTTTAAAGAATTTATTTGTAAATTATGGTGGAAAACAGGTATTTGGTCACCACAAAACCAGCGAGATTTACGGCTCTCACAGACCTGTAACTTCTTCTTTAAGAAGCTCCTCTGTCCTCCACTCGTTACCTGTATTATTGGCACCTGTTGAACCCGTTATCTGTATAAAAGACACCTGTTCACAGCCTCAAAAAGTCACAGACCAAACTCAACCATGGCCAAGACCAAAGAGCTGTTGAAGGACACCAGGAAGAAAATTGCAGAACTGCATCAGACTGGGAAGAGTGAATCTACAATAGGCAAGCAGCTTGGTGTGAAAAAATTAACTGTGGGAGCAATTGTAAGCAAATGGAAGACATACAAGATCGCTGATAATCTCCCTTGATCTAGGGCGCCACACAAGATCTCTTCCCGTGGGGTCAAAATGATAATGAGAACGGCGAGCAAAAATCCCAGAACTACATGGAGGGAAGTGATGAGTGACCTGCAGAGAGCTGGGAACAAATTAACAAAGACTACAATAAGTAACACTCTACTGTACACCGAGAGGGACTCAAATCCTGCAGTGCCAGACGTGTCCCCCTGCTCAAGCCAGTACATGTCCAGATCTGCCTGAAGTTTGCCAAAGAGCATATGGATGATCCAGAAGAGGATTGGGAGAATATCAAGTGGTCAGATGAAAGAAAATAGAACTTTCTGGTAAAAACCCAACCCGTGGTGTTTGAAGAAAGAAGAATGCAGAGCTGCATCGCAAGAACACAATACTTACTGTGAAGCGTGAGGGAGGAGACATCATGATTTGGGGTTGTTTTTCTGCAAAGGGTACAGGAAAACTGATCCGTGTTGAGGGATGAATGAACAGGGCCACGTATCGCGAGATTTTAAGCTAAACCCTCCTTCCATCAGTGAGGGCCTTGAAGATGAAATGTGGCTGGATCTTCCAGCATGATAATGATCCCAAACACATCTCCCGGGCAACAAAGGAGTGGCTCCGTAAAAAGAATTTCAAGGTCCTGAAGTGGCCTAGCCAGTCTGCAGACCTTAACCCCATGGAAAATTTGTGGAGGGAGTTGAAAGTCTGTGTTGCCCAGCGACAGCCCCAAAACATCACTGCTCTAGAGGAAATCTGCATGGAGGAATGGGCCAAAATACCAGCTACAGTGTGTGAAGCTGGTGAGGACTTACAGAAAAAGTTTGACCTCTGTCATTGCCAACAAACGTTATGTTACAAAGTATTGAGTTGAACTTTATTTATTGATCAAATATTTTCCACCATGATTTACAAATTAATTCTTAAAAAATCCTACAATGTGATTTCCTGGATTTTTCCCCCTCATTTCATCTCTTATTGTTAAAGTGTACCTATGATCAAAATTACAGACTGCTCTATTTATTTTAAGTAGGATAACTTGCACAATCATTGGCTGACTAAATACTTTTTGGCCCCACTGTACCAACAGTGTGAAAAATAAGTATTTGAACACCCTGCTATGTTGCAAGTTCTCCCACTTAGAAATCATGGAGGGGTCTAAAATTGTTGTCCTAGGTGCATGTCCACTGTGAGAGACATAATCTAAAACAAAATATTCAGAAATCACAATACCGTATATGATATTTTTTAACTATTTATTTATATGATACAACCGCAAATAAGGATTTGAACACCATCTATCTGACCCTCAAAGACTTGTTAGACTGCTTTCAAAATGTTCACCTCGACTCCATTTATTATCCTAAATTAGAAGCACCTTTTTGAGGTTTTTAACTGAATAAAGACGCTGGTCCACCCCATACAATTAGTAAGAACCCAACTAATAAGATGACCAAGACCAAAGAGCTGTCCAAAGACACGGCAGGCAAAACTGTACACCTTCACATGGCTGAAAAGGGCTATGGGGAAATTGCCAAGCAGCTTGGTGAAAAAAGCTCCACTTTGGATCAATTATTAGAAGAAGAAAAAAAAAGCTAAACATGACTGTCAATCTCCCTCAGACTGAGGCTCCATGCAAGATCTCACCTGGTTGGGTCTAAATGATGCTAAGAAAGGTGAGAAATCAGCCCAGAACTACATTGGAAGAGCTGGTCAATGAGCTGAAGAAAGGAGCTGGGAACACCGTTTCCAATGTTACTGTTGGTAATACACTAAGACGTCATGGTTTGAAATCATACATGGCACGAAAGTCTACCTGCTTAAACCAGCACATGTCAAGGCCTGTCTTAAGTTTGCCAGTGACCATTTGGATGATCCAGGGGAGTCATGGGAAAAAGCCATGTGGTCAGATGAGACCAAAACAGAAATTTTATGTCATAATTCCACTAACTGTGTTTGGAGGAAGAAGAATGATGAGCACCATCCCAAGAACACCATCAATACTGTGTGTAAAGCATAGCCAAGGAAGGAACACTTCATTTTAATTTTATAAGTTTTTTATCAGGCTTGCTTAATATTGTGCACAGCATACAACCATTGTTCTTATTGTTTATTGTATTTATTTATAGTATTTAATTTATTAATGAAAATATTTCTGTTGAATTTTTGAGTCTTTGTGTTTATCCTTGTGGTATCGAAAATGGTATTGAGTATCGAATATTTTCCTTAGTATTGGTATCGAGTTGAAAAGTTTAGTATCGTGACAACCCTATTTTGGATCAATTATTAGAAGAAGAAAAAAAAGCTAAACATGACTGTCAATCTCCCTCAGACTGAGGCTCCATGCAAGACCTCACCTGGTTGGGTCTAAATGATGCTAAGAAAGGTGAGAAATCAGCCCAGAACTACATTGGAGGAGCTGGTCAATGAGCTGAAAAGAGCTGGGACCACCGTTTCCAATGTTACTATTGGTAATACACTACACTAGATGTAAATGCAAACAAAGGCTACTGTACCAAATATCAACATTGATTTTCACAGGTGTTAAAATGCTTATTTACAGTTGGATCATAGAAATAAATAGTTAAAAAATCATATACTGTGATTTCTGGATTTTTATTTTGTAAATGATGTCTCTCACTGTGGACATGCACCTACAATGACAATTTTAGACCCTTCCATGATTTCTAAGACAGAGAACCTGCAAAATAACAGGGTGTTCAAATACTTATTTTCCTGCCTATATAATAGTTAAAATGAAACTGATGTAATTTCTTGCACTATTGGTTTCATCAGACAGTACTATAGTTCCACCAAATGCACTGAGAACCAACATAATGCTTACAATTTAATCCATTTAAGATCATTTGGTGTGAACTCATGGTAAATTCTTCCTTAAGATGGAATTTTAAAAAATTACATAGAATAGTAATTAAAGTAATCCAATCCTGATGCAGGTTACTAACCACTGCAGGTTAACTCAGCTCAAAAATGGCCGTAATTATCACCAAGAGCAAAAATATTTCTGATTGACTCATTTACATATAGCCAGATTAGCCAACATAGTTTTTCCAAAAATAAATAAATGCATTTGTAAGACATGATTTTTTATCAGACACAGATAACTGTGTCTGAAAAGATTACTGTGTATGTGATTATCTGAAGAAAATAAGTGAGATTAAAAAAATTCCAGTAGAACAATTATGTTAGAGAGAAAACATATTCAGAGAACTGCATTTCTTGTGTGTTGTTTTCAACCCTTTAATCCAAACAATCCCACTCTGCTAGACATCCAGGGTTAATTTTTTTAAAACTGGATATAAATTCTCATATCCTAAAGGAAAAGGTGTTCATGGCAGAATAACTCTCCCTAAAGTTAACTGAAATCAGTCAGTGTAAAGAATTGCTTAAAAGATTACAAACAACACCAGACAAGTTTTATTTTATATGTACTTATGTTCCAGCTGAAATAATGTATGACTTATCATACTTTTTATGTTGCGTGTCTAAACCAAAGTGGTCACAAAGACTTTGAGTAAACAACTGTAATCTAAGACTGGCATCTGCTGGCAGAGACACTACACTACATCCAGTCATTATATTGAACACAAAATAAGTTTCATGATGTTGTAATAAGCATAAGATTTACAAAAAGGCAGTATATCACACCAGATGGGACACAATACTAAAAATGTCAACTTAACATGAAATAATTTTTTTCATTTAAAGTATGGTAAACAAGTCCAGATACCTTGACGCATTATAACTTTTTTATTATTTTTATTATTTTTATTAGTTTAGTCTATCATGTTTTAGAGAACAGTTAACTAATCACATCTGCATGTTTTTTTTACCTTTGTGGCACCCTCAGGATCTAACACGTTGACAAGGGATATGTACTCTCGCATTGCCTGCTCCGGTTCCATGTCTCCGAGCTGCTTCCAGGCTTGCCTGCCATGTAAACACAGTGCTGCTCACAAGTCATTACTATTTCTCTTTTAGAGCTAAATGTGGAAATAAGCTTTGTGCTTTACTAACTAACATATTAAAGAAAGAGAAATAAAGTAAAAAAAAAAGAATTTAGTTATATGAATACAGTACATAAAAACTTGTGACACTAAGTGTTTTTACACAAAACACACAAGTACAAACATATATATGTTCTTAACTTTCAACAAAAAGTTAAAATTGCATTTTCATTTCAAACAAATCTGCTGTTAACTGATGAAATCTTTAGGCAGCATACCATTTTCGCTGTCCTTCAAAGTCGAAGAAGCCAGGCTTTGATGTATTGCACTTTCCTACTTTGACCTGTTAATAATGGGGGAAAGCAATTAGTCAGTGGAGTATTTGATGAAAGCTCAAATCTGTCGGCCTATTTTACCTTACAAAATTACTTTTTACTCTTTTTTTTTTTAGAGGTTTTGAACATTTGTTTTCCTGTTACAACATGGTAACATACAAAATTACAACAATTAAACAATGTTTTATTTGATTTTATTTTATATATGACAGACTAACAAAAACTAACATCTGATTGGTGTTTAATGCATGTTTTTATCCATCTAAACCAAGAGGCCTAAGGCCAGACAAGTATAAACCAGGGAAGCATCATAGAGATGATCTTCCTAATTCTGGAAGACAGGCAAGGATCTGCAGTTAAGGTTGGATACTTTCTACTTTAGATACTTGGTTACTTTCTTATCACAACTACAAATCATTGAATTTATAGTTGGGTTTTACATTTAAAGAGGAGTGGCAAGATTAAAACCTAGTTTAAATAAAGTAGTAAACAGAATAGTTTTCCCTTTGCATCAGTCAATTTAGAGACCACAGCAAATTGGCAATTAGATGCTGTAGCTATATCGAAAAATGAACGTCCTTTTGCCTTTTTGGCCTCAACACGGTCCCCAAGGTGAACATGGTGGCAGACTGGCAGCATCATCGTGGGGAGACTTTTATTCAGCAGGGGCACAAAAGCTGGTCACAGTTTGGGCTTTATTGGAGGCTGACTGAAGGTATATACATGGAAAGACTGAAAATAAACTGTCAATGGCTGAAAAGGAGATGAAATTTCACAGATCCCTTGAATTACAAAAAGGACAAGAATCCAGGAGTCTTTTGGTTGTATTGCTAAGAAGTAGAGCACTATTGCCTAAAGCCACAAGGTGTCACCACCTACATCCAACACACTCCTTTTCTTTGCCAGTGAAATCTTATTTGATTTCTCCGACTCACCTGTTTATAGCGGGCATACAGGTACAGTAGCTGGTCCCTGCTGGCTATCTGTAGGAGATCCTTCACACGATCGGCTGCGGACTCAAACTCAAGCTCCAGCTCCTCTCCCTCCAACTGCTCTCCCATCTCCATTGCGCTGCAGTCAAACTTATTCAACCCCAAGTCCGAATCAGAGTCCGAGCCCGCTCCACCGAGAGGCTCCCCCGTATCTGGCCGCGCTGGATCCGTACCTGAGCCCGTCGCAGTGTCCGGAGAGGATGACGGGGAACCAGAGGCCATTGTTATTGCTTAACGACGAATAGTTTCAGTCGAATAGACGGCTGTTCCTTGCGATGCGTTATCGGCAAACGCAGAGCAGCTGCAAACTAAAATCGGCGAAGTGTTTAAACGGTTATTTAAAATAATAATTACTGTTAAAATTCCCTAACAGTCGGATTTGTTTCGACTATTGGTCCGTCTCAAGTACTATCATCAAAAGGCGCCGGGTAAAACAACGGCTACTGAGAATTGGTTCCACTTTCTCATGCCGAACTAGGGAACGTTCAGTTGGTAAGAAATAAATGTTAGAAGTAGTAATAAAATTCTTGCCTTTGTTTTTTTGTAATTCATTGAATAAGAAACTATATATTGGATCTCTTTTTTTATATAGGGTTATTGTTTAGACGCCACGCATTACCAGAAAACAAAACGATTGATACATGTAATGTTAAACGACTGTGGACGTTAGAAACGTTAGAAATCATACTTATTTTCTATGAAGAAATTAAAACTTTTTTTATTATTATTATATTTTAACCACGTTCTAAATATGCACCAGTTAACCGGTGCTACAAACTTTATTTTATTTTGACGTTATACCAAGCTGACTAAACCGTTATGCAGACTGAACTAGCTGTTCAAACAACTTTGTTCGATTTGGCTAATAATAAAATAGCCAACACCAAGACAATATAACTTATAACTCTTTTAAAATAAAACTTATTAAACATAGATTTAAGGCTTTGGTTTTGGTCCTCTCCATAAAGCCTCGAACTAAACGTTATTTCTGACATTTTGAATTGAAAAAGCTTCCTAGGTGGGGAGCGAAACGTCTTCAAACATGGAAACAAAGTCCACTGGATTGTTTTTTAACTTTTTTTTTAATGATCAAAATCATCATTCGCCCAAAACTCTATTTGAACGCGGATACAAGTTGGATAAATTAGTTATTTAGTATTTATTATAAAAACCCAATAAAGTTACTATTCAAATTTGTCTTCGTCGTGTTTTTCAATAATCGTTTATGTAGGGACAACGTACGTCCAGCAGAGGGTGCTATTGGAGCAAGTATAGCCGCCTAAGTTTGGAACAGCTGTCCCTGTCTGAGCTAATGGCTCAGTAGGCGTTTAGTCTAAAATATTAAAGATATACTCAAGTTGTCCTAAAATCATGTAAAAGAAATGAAACAAATGTAATAAATTTATTATGTAAACCAATAAAAGTTAGTTAAAACTATAAAATGTTTGTAGTCATTAGACCATGATAACCATTAACTAAAAATATCACTGTTTGTAGATATCAGGATATGGATTTGAAACAAATAAACAAACAAACAAACAAAACAAAAAACCCCAAAAAACTAAAAGAGAAAACCTAATATTATCTAACTGATGAAACAGTGAAGTCAATATTTTCCCCAAAGCCAAATAAGCTAAATACTATTATTGCTATTATAAATACTATTATCCATCCATCCATTCATTTTCTGTCATGCTTATCCCAAGCAGGATTGTGAGGGGTGCTGGTGCCTATCTCCAGCTGTCTTAAGGCGAGAGGCGGGGTACACCCTGGACAGATCGCCAGTCTATCGCAGGTACTATTATAAATAATAGTATTACTGCTATATTAATTGTATTAAAAACATTTATTTATTGTTATTTTGAGTTTGACACAGAAACGCTATAACATTTTTTTTAAATTCATATCCTTCCGATTATTATACTAACCTTTTTCCATGTTTTTAATAGAGGGATAAAGTTTAGAAACTAAAGTTAGCTGGTAAATTAGTTTTGCTGGGTACTTGCAATCGGCCAAGTAAAAAACTTACAGTTTGCATCTTGCTGACTAAACTATGGTTTTAGAAATGAGTTTGCAATTAAGGCTCCCTTAGCTTACATACCAAAAATCTCTGGGTTTATGGTTACCCAAAATGTTGTCAAACAAGCAAACATGCACGTCCTGTTAGAAAGGTGATATTTTATGGGCCTATTTCCAGCAACATGTGGGGGGCGGGCATTATTGCACTATTCTGTTGCTCATAATGATCCCTAAAACTTCAACACTTAGGCAGTGTGTCTTGTATCTCATCAGAATATTTCTAAACCACAGGGGCAAATAATATATATGAAGGGTGCAATAAAAAATGTGGCTTACTCTACAATAAAGACATTTTTGAAAAAAAAAAAAAAAAAAAAAAAGGCACCCAAGCGATAGTTAAAGGTGGAAACTACTTCAGAAAAGAAAATCCTGCAGGCTATCAAACGTAAGGAAATCAAGTTGATTTCATCGAGTCATCAACTTCACAGGATTCGCTCCTCTTGGACCAGCATCTAGTGACAGAAGACATTGTCCTATGGGAGTCTTAAATAGACATACTTTTTTATGTCACTATATGAAGAATATATATTATTGAGAAAAAGTTCTCCCCAAATAGGCAGTTAAATACAGTGAATAAACGTCATCAAGTCACCTAAAAAATGAATTAACTTTTTCATTGCAGATCCCTTTTTCTAAAATCCAATATTAAATTAGGAAAAATGAGAGCATAACCATAATTATAACCATATTTTTTTTTTTTTGCTGCTTTCCCCTTCATTACTTTTCTTTCTTTTGCCGTATAAGACAAAACTGAAATTTGTTTTGCAGCATGATAGAAACTTTTTAACAAGGCAAATAAAGGCATGTTTGTCATCCTGTTCTTGTGGAGCTTTATAATGGTCTAAAAACAATGACTCAAAACTGCAATTTATTGCTACAAATAAATTGGGACTCCGGTAGCAGACTCTGCCTTTACCATCAGTTTTTTTTTTTTAACAATAGACAATGAGATAAGTCAGGTATAGGAAAACAAGCCTAGAACTCTGTATGGCCATTCCTGCATTTAGGGGAAATGTGAGCTTCTCTAATTTTAGCTCAGAAGTTCAGCCTTTAGAATAAAAAATAACAAGATGAAGTGAGTTGGACAGCATACATTTTTTTAATAACCAGAGAGTGCACGCTTAGTGAATAAACTCTGCAGTAGAAGGTAATGTTTTTTACCTGGCTTTGATCTTTAATAATAATTATAGAGATCTTAACAGGTGTCCAAGGGCGTCAGTAAAAGACTAGCACTTTAGCTGTAGAGCAGAGGTATAGCCAGAACATATTTATAAAGGTGGCCAGGCAATAGCCAATGTACACTGAGGGGTGGACAAAAGTGGATAGGTGCCAGAACCTCAGGGTCAATCTACACTGTTCCAACAGGAACAAGCACAACATCCATATTTCTAAATAAAGGCAAACTATAGTTTCCTACAGCCTTTGCTAACAAATAGATGGATATATTTAAACATCCGTCTAGATAAAAGTTATATAGGATAAAATTCTTTGAGGTTTGAGTTCTGGAACGAACATCTTTTCCATTGTCATTACTTACCTACTTTTATCAATATCATTCTACATTAAATTGATATTTACAAGTACTAATATCTACATAAATTGATAATTTAATAGGTTTTTATTACAATATAATTTACAGTATATTTGATTCAGTGAAGACTCTTAGATGACTTGCAGACACACATCATTTTCTTTTTATGGCATATAACACAAAATCTAGTTCTGAAAGAGCATGAATTCTGTATTTATCATATTTAATGTTGGTATATTGATGTGCATAATTAACCACAGTGTTTTTGTTGTCAGGCATGGGCAGTTCTAGACAGGGGCCAACGGGGGCAAGTGCCCCTGTAGATCATGTCCTGGCCCCTGTTATGGCCCCATTACTGAAGACATAATACTCAAAGAAATTCCAATGATGATCTGCGCTGGAACAGACATGGTTACTGATAGGTCCTTTGGATCTATTTCATTTTTGTTCTTTACAAATTCTGTTTTTTCTAATTATTTTAAAGAAATAAGGTGATAGCTTCAGGTATTGAGAAAGGATCCCAGTTTACTTCTGCTAAATGTTTTTTTTTTTTTTCAAAACAAATTGCTCAAATTTTTACAGCTGAATATATCAGTTTTTTGTTGAGTTCTAAATCAGATTTTATAGAAAACTGTAATTTTACCTTAAATTAAGTAAAAAAATATGTTAAATTTCTAAATTATGAATGTATGTTGAGCTAATAAGGCATAGTATTTCGATTAAACCTAATTGAATAAAAATTTGACTTCATGCAGCTATCTTAATATATTTCAATCCCTGGCCCTGTTTTTTATTTGATGCTTTTCTGTGCCCCCATGCAAACACACTGGTCCCCTCCTGGCCCCCTAGTACATTTGGTTTAGAACCGCCACTGTTGACAAGTAATTGTTAATAAATATAAAATTAAAATGTTTTGAATATTCTACTTGAGAGAAAAAAATGGTAGGAGTGGGCAATGATTGGCTTAGGGTGACTATGGCTACCCCTGGCCCCCCCATCTAGCTCCGCCCCTGCTGTAAAGTAACTTATTTTCTATTTTATTTAACTTTTTATTATGATTTTTATTATTATTATTATTTTTACAGAAACCCAACAACAAGACCCTTCGGACTGAAACATGCTTCCTCAGTCATAATAATAAACAGATTTTAAGGAGGAAAGGAGCAGTTTATCTGGAGCAGCAACAGTTATCAGGGGTCCCAACAGCGCCCTGTGCCAGAGCGCCCCCTGCTGGCGCAACCACGTCATTACTGTTAGGTGCATGGCCGTAAGCAATGTCCCCAGAGCGGCCCAGGGAGGGACCGAGCAAAGTCACTGAGCCACCTTCTCGCTGTGCCGCCGTGAACAGCTGTTGTACAGCGGCCGCTGCTTGGCTCCCTGTAAAGTAGCATGCGGGACGGGAGCAGCTGGGAGCGGGACGAGCCCAGAGTGGAGTGAGAAGGAGCGGAGAGGACAGAGCTGCGCTTCCGCACCGCATGTTCAGCCAGCAAGTTGCCTGACAGAACAAAAGTCGCGTCGACGGGGAAAGGGGGACAGACGCTCTCGGATTTACCAGAGGTTTTGTGGGACACTTGTTTGGACAAAATGAAATTCGCGGAGCATCTATCGTCTCATATCACCCCAGAGTGGAGGAAACAATATCTTCTATATGAGGTAGAGTCGAATATAAACAAATATGGGTTTATTTTATGTCTTCAAAAGAACTGTAGGATAACTGAACATCCGGATTTTTAAATCCGTAAAAAAAAAACATCCTGAAGTATATAAAATAAAAAATATATATATAAAATATATACAAATGCACCTTTAAAGT